CTATTGTTTCATTTGGCACGTGCGCTGTCCAGCCGATCCATTGCTCAAAGACTGATCGATCCCCTGCTTGGTTGCAATGAATTCAACGCATTCTTTGTAAAGGAATTTTATTTACCGGGTGTCTAGAGCACTGGTTTGTGTCTGGGATTTGTACACAGTGAAGCCGTTTGATCCGTTTGTAAATACATATTCATACATTTTTTAAATGGTTTCCCAGAGCCCAATGGCATTCTGCTAGCATGCATTTAACATTGCGCAGATCATCTACACGCGTCCCATTTAGACTATTCGAATCAGCCATTAGCCAAATTAATAGTTAACAAATCGGTATGGTGTTCAAACCAAAATGTTGCTTGTCATGACAAGTAAGAAGTACCTGAAAAACATCAATCTTAACAAATAGTGTCACAGTAACCATGAGTTTAAAAAAATGTCAAAACAAAAGCAGTCGATTTTAGATGGAGAGAGGAAAACGTTCTTTGTTTACCACATCCAATTTTGAATCTCTTTTATGTTCTTATTTCCGGAATTGCAACCATGTAAAAATCTATTCAACTGGTTTTAATTCAGTGCCACATTCGGCAGTGTTGAGGCTAACGACAATCTGAATTTCCAGGGCTTCAGTCGAGAAGATCCGAGCACACGCCGTCGGACCTCACCATTACTCATACAATACTCCCACCATGCGGGGACAATAACACAGACGACGGTTGTCGAAAACAGAGTCGTTTTGTCTTGATCTGCTTTAAGAGGCCGAATTTCGCAGCAGTGTAGTAGTAGGTACAGTTACATGGTACACTCTCACTTTCAGTGGAAGGAATACATCATTGAGGCTACCGATATGTCCCAGATAAGTGAACATGAAACTTGCTAGCCCGTTGAGAGAGTAAAACAAATGTCGAACCGATAAACCGTATTTGCCAAGTGGTTTAGTGTTTTATACGGTCCGTGCATTATTACCGAATAACGCAATATTTTAGATATAGTCTAAGCCTGCGACTGTTTTCAGGAATAAGTCCAACTCCAACGTGAGACAACTCCTTATGCAAGACAGCTGCGACAAAGTTGAAGAGTAACATAGATCAGGGTAACCCTGTCCTGGTGACAGGAAACGAAACCGAAAATTTACCACAAAAAATAGGCCGCCTGGAGTGTTTTAGGAATCAAAACATACACCTCAAGTACTCCACAACTCAGAACAGAACGATTAATGGAGTCAAATGCTACTCTAAGGTTCGAAAAAACGACCATAATTTGTCACCTACATGTGTGACAGTGTTTGAACAGCTGGCGGAGGGTGAAACTTTGTTCTAAGTAATAATAGCAAGCAGAGAATCCGATTTTCTCGTCACGGATGACAATCAATCAGCTGGCAGTTGCAGCCTTATTGGAGTCAAATTTGTTGCTTCGTGATTAGAATAAACGCTGGGAAAATTGGTTTCGAAAATAGATGCTACAGTCTTACCTCCACATAGGTGGCACAACTTCTTCCCCTCAGATCTTTGAAAGCATTCCGACAAGCTCTCGGAAAAGAACTTTCCAATTTTTGAAAAGGATTCGGTGGCGAATTTTCCGAAAAAGATGTCTTACAGTGTCTCATGGCTTGGAGCTCCTTTCGGATCTCTGCTTTTGTGTGCGCTGCCGTGGATAGTGACCAGGGTGCACCCTCAAGAGAACCGTTTGTGGTAGTCCATGCAATAGTCTGGTTGAATTGTAAAATGAAGTACTCCGTTCAATGTTTGAAACTTCGAAGATTGCGTATTGGTGCACCGAAAAATGTTTCACTAACGAACTATATGTTGCAGCTGGTAGTTCGAATGTATTCGGATGCGATCAACTATCCGGATGATATTTTCGCCCTTGGTTCGAGTGCTTGCCAATTTTCATGGTGATCGAGAGCCTGGAAGGTCGAAGGGTAGAGGCCGGATGAAGTCCAGTCTCCAGGTTGGGTGTTCGACTAGAATTTGCACTTCAGTCGGTAAAAAATGGTGGGGGAGTAACTGATCCAAGTAAATGGGCTTCCACTTCACCTCACTC